CAACAAATGGTGCTGGGAAAATTGGTCAGCCACATGCAGAAAAATGAAATTGGACCATTTCTGTATACCACACACAAAAATAGACTCAAAATGGATGGAAGACCTCAATTTGAGACAGGAATCCATCAAAATCCTTGAGGAGAACCCAAGCAGCAACCTCTTCCAACCTCAGCTGCAGTAACCTCTTCCTAGAAACATTGCCAAAGGCAAGGGAAGAAAGGGCAAAAATGAACTATTAGGACTTCATCAAGATCAAAAGCTTTTGCAAACAAAGGAAACAGTCAACAAAATTAAAAGACAGCCGACAGAATGGGAGAAGATAATCTGCAAATGACGTATCAGATAAGTGCTAGTATCCAAAATCTATAAAGAGTTTATCAAACTCAACACCCAGAGAACAAATAATCCGATCAAGAAATGGGCAGAAGACAAGAACAGACATTTCTGCAAGGAAGACATCCACATGGCCAACCAGACACATGAAAAAGTGCTCCCACATCACTCGGCATCAAGGAGATACAAATTAAGACCACATTGAGATACCACCTCACACCAACCAGAATGGCTAAAATTAACAAGTCCGGAAATGACAGATGTTGGCGAGGATGTGGAGAAAGGGGAACCCTCCAGCACTTTTGGTAGGAATACAAGCTGGTGCAGCCACTCTGGAAAACAGTATGGAGGTTCCTCAAAAAGGAATTTGAGAATAGAGCTACCTTACGACCCAGCAATTGCACTACTGGGTATTTACCCCAAAGATACAAATGTAGTGATCTGAAGGGGCACGTGCACCCAAATGTTTATAGCAACAATGTCCACAATAGCCAAACTATGGAATACTATGCAGCCATCAAAAGAAATTAAATCTTGCCATTTGCAACGACATGATTAGAGCTAGAGGGTGTTATGCTGAGTGAAGTTAAGTTGATCAGAGAAAGACAGTTACCGTATGATCTCTCTGGTATAAGGGATTTGAGAGGCAAGGCAGGGGGCTGTGGGGCTAGGGAAGGAAAAAAAACAAGATGGGATCGAGAGGGAGACAAACCATAAGAGACTCTTAATCTCACAAAACAAACTGAGGGTCGCTGGGGGTTGGGGGGGTAGGGATAGGGTAGCTAGGTTATGGACATTGGGGAGGGTGTGTGCTATGGTGAGTGCTGTGAAATATGTAAGCCTGATGATTCATAGACCTGTACCCCTGGGGCAAATAATACATTATATGTTAATAAAAATAATTAAAAAGAAAAAAATGATAAATCGCTCCTGCTTCTGAAATTTAGTGATTATGATAGAGAAAGGACATCAGATATTTTTAATACTTAGACTCACAGTAGGGTATTTTTAGCATTTTTATTCTTTGTGAGTAGACACGTTGCAGACTAAAAAAAAATACCAAAGAAAGCAAATGCGAGTTACGCAGTTTCTACATATACTTTATTTTGTCTTGTAAAAGTTATTTTTCTACTTCATTATAGATGAGATTAGTTCTGGTGCCAGAAGATTTTTTGCTTGGATTATATTACTAACTTTACTAACTTCTAACTGAGGAAATGCAGAATCTTTCCAACTCTTAATTAAAGCTTTATAACATCCTGAGGATTCAGAGGGAAACTTGTGGTCTCCCCAGAGCATCTTTGACTCTAAAGGTAGTAAAATGCCAAGCAGGTCTTCATTTTTACAGGCAGTGACTCTGGCTAAGCATGCAGATCTTCATATGTTTTATTATTCTTAGCCTCTGCCTTCTTTCATGTTTCTTCCCTAATTTTCTCTATTTCCACAAACCATAGTCCATGGTTGTCTCTTCGAGGCCACTTATTTTTTGCCTGGAAAAATGCGTGTGCATGAGCAGGTGTGTATTTGTTTTATTTGTGTATAGTGTGTCTATTTCTCTCTCTTCTCTCACCTCCTTTCTGTCCACAAGAAAGTAAAACCCTTTTTGGAAAGTCTTCTTGGCCTCTTTCATGTAAACCTAGCTCTTGCTTTTCCTTTACTCTCTTTGAACTTTAATACTTCCTGTATAGCAGTTGTATACATATGTATCACTGAGGTAAGCTATGAGTTCCTTGAAGGTAGGTGTTGTGTCTTACTCTCCTCTAAATCCCTAGTACCTAGCCTTGATGTTTAGTAAATGTGAGTGGATGAGTGGGTCAGTGGGTGAGTGAGTGAATGGGAATGAATGGGAGACCAGCTTGAGAAAATGGATTCTTTATTAATGACCAGTGCCTCAGATTATTGATGAGTATCTTTTAAAGGTTTTCTGTGAGTTTGAACTTGATTATCTGATGGCTTATGAATAGGTCATGGAGAAAAAAAACTTTCTTCCCTTTCCCAGGATTTTCTGGTTAGATACTTGTTCTTGGTTATTATCTGTGAGCCTTAAAACTGGTTTCCCTTATTCCTTGTTGGTCATCTGGTTATGCTAAGAAGTATTATGATATCTGTTTGGAAGATCCTTAATAAGCAGACAGCTTATGTCCACCTTTTCTCTCAATATTTTCAAAGAATATGAGCATATCCTATTTACCAGACCATTTTTTGGCCTTTGAAGATACAGTAGTGAAAAAAGCAAAGTTCTTGTCTTTATAGGGTTTATATGGGAAAGATAAGCAATAAACAAATATGTAATATGTCAAGTACTGATGAAGGCTGTGAATTAAATCAGGTTAAGGGGATAAAAAGTAATATGCCTAAAATGTGGCTTTAAAGGAAAAAAATACCAGGAAAAAAGCTGTTAAAGAGGCATGCTAAAAAATTGATGAGGGTTATTTCTGACAGTGAAATTACAGATGATTTTTTAAATTATGCTTTTATCTAATTTTCTGAAGTCTTCATTGCCTTTATTCTTGGGGAGGAGAGGGTGCCAGTGAGATCACATTTGCTTTAAAACCTTATTGTGATGGTGCATAGTCCCTTGTGATCAAAAGGAAGAAAGCCGTCTACTGATTCCTCTCTGAATATTTCTGGAAGTCCTCAGCACATGGTCTGGAAAAGTTCATACTCGGTGAGTCCTTCCAGTCTCTGGACAGGCCTCTACTTTGTATCAGTATGGTCAGTATCTGAGGAGGTTGTTGCCAAAGTCTTAATTCCCCAATTTGGGCAAAAGTGCTTTGTCATTTATTCAGGACACATTTCCCAGTGTTTGTACTGGTGCTGAATAAGTCATTTATTCTGATGAAGAAACTGTAGAAAAACTCCAGTAAAAGTACAAGTAGCATATTCTTTGTATATAAATGTCATGTATTTCATTAATGTCTTTCATAGTGTATACTTCACAGTATTTCAGTCAAACTTGACCTAACTCAACACTGTTGCCATGAGTGTTATGACTTACTGTAAGAGCGGTGGCAGAGAAAAAGCATGAAGCAGAATTTTTAGTTCCCTCCTGTGAAAGGAGCAAACTCCTCTTCCCTCAGCACCTTTCTACCAGTCAGGAGAGCATCTGTACCCTGGCTGGGCCTCAGCACAGAGCAGGAGAAAGGAAGGAAAGCCTGAAACAACACCCATGACTAGGCTGTGGGACTTAGATATGTAGTTATAATAAAGCATCTTTTATGGCTAAAGCTGTAGAATTTCCTGTAACTCTGGACTTTTCAACTTTCTCTTCAGGCTCAGAGTTGTTGGTCTATCTCTAAAGGACTAATTTCCATTATGTTTTTTCGTAACCTCTTTACCTGCTTCCTCCACCTCATGACTGTCTCGGTGACAGAGCAAGCAAAACTAATATATACCTTCTTGCCCCTTTCCAGTTTATGTCCCTGGTATACTGATTTTTAGAGGTAAAGGCGCACTTTACATATTTAAATGGGTATATGGGCACACTTTTGTTTTAAAACTGGTTTGATGTAAAGAAGATTTGAAGAACAAGGAAAAATTTTCAGTTCCTCTTTGTTCTTTCTGACCCTATCTCTTGCAGTTCTCTTTCCCTTTCTTCCTTTGTTTCTTTGTATTTTCCTATATCAAGTAACAATTCCTATAAACATTCTTTGTTTATTGGTAGCCTTTATGCCTGAATAGGTGAAACCTATCTCAAAATAGATCGGTTCATTCCAGCCAAAAATGTTAATCCATTTGGTAAGTGCAGCGTGATAGAAGAGATAACTTCTCTTGTCCGGAGCAGGTTAAAAAATTATTTTTGCATCTACTGTACGTTCTGCCTAGAATATCTTTATCTTCCCCACCTGGATCTATTCCTTATTTAAAAGACCTAGCTCAAATGGAGTAGTTTCTTTGATACTTTTTCTGATTCTCCCAGTTAGTGAGTCCTACCTACTATAGCGTTTTCATACCTTTCTAATAGCACATTTAAGATTGTTTTATTATTGTTTTTTAACATGTCTCTCATTAGAGTCTGAAATTTTGGGTGTGGGAACTGTATTTCTTATTTTCTCAGCTCTGATATTCAAGAAATGTTTTTGACTGTTCTTGGATAAGCCTTACTCAGTGTTTTTAAGGACTTCACAATCTAATGGTGGTGATATATCAATCACAGATAACCATAGTACAAATTAGAATGCAGTACTGCCACAAAGAAGAAAGAAATCACTTCTTGCTGTGGGAATTAAAGGTTTTCCCAGGCTTTGTGGATGAAGTGGAATTTAAAATGCACCCTGAAGGATTAAGTGTGAAATGTGGAGTTAATGGAATCTACCTTTTCTTACTTCCTGATGACTTTATTAGAAATAGTTTCAGTGCAGGGGAACAATGTTATTTGACATATATTCCAAAGCCTTAAACCTAGAGTTAATTTTCTCATTTTTATCTGAAATAATTAATCATTTGATTTATACAAAAGAACGTAAAAGAACGTATTATGTATGTGTGTCGCGGGTGGCTAAGTATCAATTTGTTCCCGGGTCTTCGTGGATTTAAGTCATAAATTCAGGAACTGATAGTTAGGATTAGATCTTTTTCATCTGTCTGAATGTTACCAACAAAAAAAGGACATGAAATTTTGATGTATTTCTGTCCTATGTTGCATGGATTTTCTTTATTCATTTTAGCCACAGATCCCTTTGCTTCTGTTTTTGGAAGTGAATCATTTGAAGATGGATTCGCTGACTTCAGCACATTGTCAAAGGTAACCTGCAGTGATTAGTGGAAAGATGAAATATTCTGTGTTTCCACCAGTGGAGCAACCCTTCCTTCCAATTATATAACCCTTTCACAGACTTCTCAACTTGATGTCATTGTTGATTTCAGATAGAGATGATAGAAAATATGTAATTAAAGTAGATATATTTCTATACATAAAGACTATGGTGATGGTACAGGTAATTATAATTTTCTACTGACCGGTTAGCTCAACAACTTCATTTTAAGAGTCTTCTGCCTTTTTTAAACATATTTCTTCCAGTTGAACTAATTTATCCTCTGTTGACTATCTGGGTCAGTAGATGTAAAATTTGGGCATTCAGGCCATCTTCTCTGCATTGATTACTTCATTTTATGTTCTGAGGCTGTTAGGGTTAGTGTTAAGATTATTAATACACGTAGTCAAGCTCTATATGCCCGCTATCTAATTTCCAGTGTAGCTGTAGGATTGATTTAGACCAAAAGAGTAAAATTAGAGTATATGTGAAATTATCTATGTCATCTGTTCTCAGCTGGATGTTATTTCCCCCTCCACCTTTGCCCTCTGTTATTTGGCATTGTCTAAAGACATTTTTGGTTGTCACAACTGGGAAGGGGGGCTATTCATATCTAGTAGATAGAGACCGGGAGTGCTGTTAAACATCCTACAGCACAGTATCCAGCTCCCCACAACACAGAATTATGTCCAGCCCACAAAGTAACTAGTGCTATAGAGAAACACTGGCCTAAGATCTAAAATCATGATTTCTGATTCACTATAGAAAAGTGAATCTGTCATTATTAGAAAGGCAGAGTCTTCAGACCCACGTTAAGACTTGTTATTCCATGGCATTAATTTGCTTTTAAAAATTGACTTTTTTTTCACGTTGTCTTCAATATTTTCAAGACGCCATTTTCTTTGTCATTAGTATTAAATCTTTCCTATATTTAAGTGAATTGAGAAGTGTGAAATCAGTATTTTTTTTCTTTATCATATGGATCAGATATTCATTTGAAGAAAAACATATAGTCCCTTTAAAATGGACCTCAGGTGGTTTTGTATTGCCTAAAGCTTGAAAAACTTTTAATCCAGAGTTGACTTGTTTTGGTATGATCTGTTGCTTTTAATAAGTAGTGATGTTATAATCACTACTCATATGGAACCGTTTTTTAAAAAATTTCTCCCTTTTGGCCCCAAATACAAAGGTTAACATGTCAGTGCTCTCAGAATTGAAATAAATAAAGCTGCATAATACTGAAGATCATTGTTCTAAATGTTACACAACCATACATACTTTGGTTGGTATAATTTATATAACTATGTATACACATTTCTTTTCAAACAAAGGTCAACAACGAAGATCCTTTTAGTTCAGCCACATCGAGCTCTGTCAACAGTGTGGTCATTAAAAAAAAAGTGCTTGAGGACACATCGGTCAGAAGTGAAGATGTACCCCCAGCATTGCCCCCAAAGATTGGAACTCCAACAAGACCCTGCCCACCACCACCTGGTATGAGAGTTGGTATCTTTCCTAAATCAACTGAGATGCTTTTTCTCTTTCTGAAGAATACTGGTGTGAGCCTTACAGACTTAAATAAAGGGCTTTAAACAAAAGAAGCCAAAAACATGGCAGAAGCCTGCTATGGTCATCTGTTCTGACAGTACAGAATAATAGACATGTGTCTAAAAGACCAGCATGAGTAACGTGAACCCCTTTTCTGGCAAGAGCTCATTTCTTTTTAAATCATTTTGGAGAGGCAGTAAATGGAAAGAGGACAGTATTAGTGAAATGGCTTGCTTTCTGGAAACTCATTGATTACCATTTACACACAGTTTCCTTCACTTTGTTGCTTTAATTAAGTTAATTTCTGTAAGAAAAGATTAATTTGAAGTCCCATTCTTTTCCTGACTAAGGTGAAGTCTTTCTTAAATCCCTCAATGTGAAAATATGTGGCCTTTTTGGTATCCAGAATTCAGCAACAGAGCAATTTAAAAGAAAGTATTTTTCTTGAAGGAAAATAATATTTTACTTCACTTAATAAGAGACTCCTTTATTTTATAAAAGTCTTTTTTTTTTTTTTTGGTCTAGGAACAAATTCTTTTTTTCCCCCCACCAAAGATTATTTATTTATTTATTTATTCGACAGAGAGAGAGAGAGAGAGAGAGAGAGAGCGAGAGATCACAAGTAGGCAGAGAGGCAGGCAGAGAGAGAAGGGGAAGCAGGCTCCCCGCTGAGCAGAGAGCCCGATGCGGGACTCGATCCCAGGACCCTGAGATCATGACCTGAGCTGAAGGCAGAGGCTTAACCCACTGAGCCACCCAGGTGCCCCTGGTCTAGAACAAATTCTTAATGTTTTTAGTGTCTTGCTTTTAACAAAGGTATCAAAGTTCATGAGAAGTGGCTAACAAGGCAATTCCCTGAGTAGAGATAGTGCTGCTAGGCTGTTACCTGAGAAGATACATCTGGTACATGGTTATTTTAATAATAATCTGTCATTCCTGGTAAATTTTTAGGCACAGTAGTTATGGACTTTTATGCTTGCCTTTCATAATAACCTCCCTGTGGTATTTCTTGGGCAGATTAATTTTTCTCTTTTTTTACATAAAGTATACAATTGTTAATACTCAATTATATTGTGAAAAATCAGGTAAACAAATTAAGTGACTTCTATCTTTTAAGGAAAAGTAGCCTATATCATATATTGCTGGAGGCTAAAGTTGTCAGAATATATTAAAAAACAAATGCGCCAACAATCATTCCAACTAATAAATGGGCAGAAGACACGAATGGACTTTTCTCAAAAAACATACATGCTGAGTGAAATAAGTCAAACAGAGAGAGTTAATTATCACATGGTTTCACTTACTTGTGGAGCATAAGGAAAAACATGGAGGACACTGGGAGATGGAGTGGAGAAGTGAATTGGGGGAGATCGGAGGGAAAGACAAACCATGAGAGACTGTGAACTCTGAGAAACAAACTGAGGGCTTTGGAAGGGAGGGGTGAGCCTGGCAGTAGGTACTGTGGAGGGCACATATTGCATGGAGCACTGGGTATGGTGCATAAACAATGAATGCTGGAACACTGAAAAGAAATAAAATAAATTGGAGGAAAAAAAGCATACAAATGAACAACAGACACATGAAAAGATACTCAATGTTACTTATCATCAGGGAAATGCAAATCAAAACTACAATGAAATAATACCTCACACCTCTCAGAATGGCTGAAATTAAAAACACAAGAAAAAACAAGTGTTGGTGAGGTTATAGGGAAAAAGGAACCCTTATACACTGGTGGTGAGAATGCAGACTCATTGGCCACAGTGGTGTGGCCAGTCTGGAAGACAGTATGGAGTTTCCTCAGAAATTAAAAAATAGAACTATCCTAGGATCCAGCAATCTCACTACTGGGTATTTACCCAAAGAATACAAAAACATTAATTCAAAGAGGTACATGTACCCGATATTTATAGCAGCATTATTTACAATAGCCAAATTGTGAAAGCAACCCAGGTAAGTGTCCCATCAGTTGATGAATGGGGAAAGATGAATGGGGTGTGTGTGTACAGAATGGAATATTACTTGGCCTTAAAAAAGAGTGAGATCTTGCCATTTACAATAACGTGGTTGGATCTAGAGAGTATAAGACTAAGTGAAATAAGTCAGAAAAAGATGAGTACTATATTATTCCACTCATGTGGAAATTAAGAAACAAAACAAATGGAGAAAGAAAGAAAGAGACAAACCAAACCAAAAAACAGACCTTTAACTATAGAAAATAAACTGATGGCTACCAGAAGGGAGGTGAGTGGGGGATGGGTGAAATAGATGAAAAGTATTAAGAGTTACATGTTGAACACTGAATAATGTACAGAATTGTTGAATCACTATATCATACATCTGGAACTAATATAACACTGTATGTTAATTATACTGGCATTAAATTTTTTAAAAAATGAATCCGTTTGCTCATTTAAGTTCTATACCTGTGTGATGACAATAGCAAAGTTATTTTATAATCCTAAGTAAAATAATATACTGGTGCATTGACTAAATCTAAGGATCTTCATCAAAGTGAATATATATAACTATAGAAGTATTAAGGAAAAAAGGATGATTTGTCAGAGAAAGCACTGGACTGGGAGCTTAAAGATGTAGGTGCTAATTCTGGATGTCCTCAGACTAGCTCTGTGATCTTGAGTGTGTAATTTAATATGTCTGGGCCTCAGCTATCTGAGCTGTTAGATGGTGGCAGTAACTCTTAATTTTGCCTACCTTCCCAGGAATGTTGGAAAAATCCAATGAGATATGAGATATGAACATTTTTTTAAAAGATTTTATTTATTTATTTGCCAGAGAGCACAAGTAGGCAGAGCAGTAGACAGAGGGAGAGGGAGAAGCAGGCTCCCCGCTGGGCAGGGAGCCTGATGTGGGGCTCAATCCCAGGACCCTGGGATCATGACCTGAGTCAATGGCAGCTGCTTAACCGACTGAGCCACCCAGGTGCCCTGAGATATGAACATCTTTTATAAGCTGCTACACTCATGGAAAGACTGTTAACGATTGCTATTACCAGTTTAACACATTTTAGGAAAAATGCATATTTGAAAATATATTAACACCTATATTAATCATTTCCTCTTGAGAAGTACTAAGTTTAAGACTTTAAATTTGGAGAACTTGTTTGAAAATGGTGGTGAATTCAGCAACGATACACTGTTGTTTGGTCAAAGATGATTTTATCCACACCCACAAATATTTAGGCCCCAGACTTCAAAACATTCTCTTTATTCTTCAATTTGAAATACTGTAGATGGCAAAAAGTAGGTGAGGCTTTCCAGGGTAATTCTTAATCGTGTTCCCAGGTATTATATACAGATCTAGAGAAAAAAATCAGAAGAATATGGTCATTTTTCAAAGGTCATTTGCCCTTACTGCCACTAGTGGACAGCTGTATCGGGCTGAGGTTACAACAGCAGAGGCCATTTTTGTCTTTATTTTTGTCTTCCTCCTCCTGTTTGATCCTTTCCTTTCCCTCTTTTTGGGAACACACTGCTTTGGGGAAGACAAGGTTTACAGTCCGGGCAAAAAAGATGATTCCTGGCCCATTCCCTTCCCCTTTTCCCCCATTTAGGTACAAGAGCTGGAATGTATTTGAAAGGTTGTGTGTGAAAAATTTGAGGACAGACTATGGGTGTAGTCATTTAAGACCATACTAAGAGTGTATTATTTTAGGCACTTAACCTCCATTCCTCCACCCCCCAGTTCTTTAATGCTCTCTGTGTTCATCTTCTTGTGTGTTTGTTTGCTGTATTTGCTGGTTGAGTTAATTGTAATGATTTTGATCCAGGGAAAAGACCCATCAACAAATTGGATTCTTCTGATCCTTTTAAACTGAATGATCCATTTCAGCCTTTCCCAGACAATGATAGCCCCAGAGAAAAAGATCCTGATATGTTTTGTGATTCATTCACTTCTACTACTACTACCACTACCACTACCAATAAAGAGGCTGACCCAAGCAATTTTGCTAACTTCAGTGCTGTAAGTACTGTGAATGGGCTGTTTGGGGGAAATATCTTTCCATTTACAGTTTAAAGAGTTTTCAGTGATTACTTTGGAGTCTGCCACATTTGCATCATTTCAACTAAATTTACCAACATACTAAAAATGATCTATATTCCTCCCCCAAACAAAATTCCTGTTTGATTCTGTTTTGATGGTTCTAACATTGTTCCATTGCACAAATAATTTTAGTAGTGTTAGTCCTTGTGGTATATACCAGTTGTTTTTGCAAACCCTTCTCTTTGTCTTGGTAAACAATATAAATAAAATTTGCAAATTGTTTTGGATGATGGTCCATTAGAGTCATTCCTGTCTGCCCACTGGAGGAATAATGGCAATAATGAGCTTGTGTATTTGTAATTGTGTATGTGTGTTTGTGTATAGTTTTGATGGTTTCTGGAGACCTGTCAGCAACTATTATATGGGGAGATAAAGCCAGGGATTCTTTGACTAGAAAGCGAAACTCTGGTTTTCATATAGTAGCGTTTTAAAAATGTAGATGTCGATTTCATGAAGTAAACACAGTTGTCAAGAGCTAAACAGTCTTTAATTATTTGGATAGTTCTAATCATATTTACTCTGCATTCTCCCAGAGCTGACTAAAATAGGCACACCGGTAAAAACAATGGAAAGATGCTGTGATGACACATAGATAGGGCCAAAAGAGCACAGAAATGGGGCAACCAACTACGGACGTGTCACTCTGGAGCGACATAATGCAACGATACATATTCCATCATTATTTAGATAAAAAATGAAGTTATTTATTTATTGCTTTAATTTTTTTTCTAGCTTTTGAGTCTGTACTTTAAGTTCCATTCTTATGAATATGACAAAGCAGAGTAGGAATCAGTATTTTGCAAGTGGGAAAATGGAGTGTCAGAATTATACTGACTTAACTTTTGTTAGCTAGAGTTTGAGTTATTTCAAGCAAGAATCCAAAATTGCTTCCTTTGGGTGATTATAATCCTCTTAATATAAAATAACTTTCTGGCTATGGCACTTAATATCTTAAATATTATTTTAGCAAGTCAAAGTCTCATTGGCATAAGTCTTGAACTATAGCAGAGGCATTTTGCTTATTTCATACTTCAGAATTTCAGCATGGTATAACATAAAGCAACTCATAATAAAAATGCCTGCCTGCCTTATGAAAGTTTTGTTAAGTATTGTAAGTTTTAAAGTCCCTCTAATTCACTAGGGGAAAAACTACCATTTTCAAAAAGCTTGACAGTTTTTTTAATTTCATCCCATTGTGGTATTTCTCGGTATGACTGAACTTCAAACCAAGTAAAATTTTTTTATTTAGTATCTCTCGACGTTGCTGTTTTACGTAGACAAAAATATTTCCCTGACCTAATGTTAAGGTTTAAGTTTTTATTAGCGTTAAGTGTATGGTTTTATTTAGATCAAGTCAAAAAGTTCTCAGTGCCTGCAGAAACCTTTACAATGCATTAAAAAATAATTTGATCCACATCTTGTTTATTATACCCAGTACTACTTGTTTTATGTTTAGCAAAATCAGCATATTCTTTGCTACATAATTTTTCTGTACGTGAGAGCAAGGATAAGGTAGGAAATCACCGGTGGGATTAAGTTGAAATGATTGATCATGTGAGGATGCTCCTGAAGTTGAAGTAATAAATGTTTTGCATTAGATTAAAAGGCTAGCCCTCCCATTTGTAAATATCCTAATTCACCTTAAGTATTTCTACTTTTTAAAAGTGGTTCAATGTTTAGTTTTATAAACGTTCTATCAGTAGACTGCAATAATTTTTCAAATTAGACCACATTTAATAACTGGTAAAACTAAATGTGTTTTCAGGGAAAAAAAAAATTAACAAGTAACAAGGCTATTCCCAAAGTCCTACAGGTGAAACAAGTAGTGAATGTTCTTTGTAATGACTGTTTTCCTTCTTTTCTTTTTGTTTTACTCATTAACCTACTTATTTGTTCATCTGTCTTTTAAATAACAGTATCCCTCTGAAGAAGATATGATTGAATGGGCCAAGAGGGAAAGTGAGAGAGAGGAAGAGCAGAGGCTTGCCCGACTAAATCAGCAAGAGCAGGAAGACTTAGAACTGGCTATCGCGCTCAGCAAGTCGGAGATATCAGAAGCATGAAGAATTCTCCTGTCCTTTGTCAACCATACAATATTCTTCTTCCTAAATACTGGAGCTCTTTACAGTGTGTATCAAAACTACCTATGAGCATGGGAATACAAAAGGTTTGAGATTCCTGTAAATGTGACAAAAGTTTGTGTTTTTTTTTGTTTTTTTTTTGTTTCTTACTCCATTTCAGATTTGTCTTCCTGCCCTCCGCCCAACCCTGGCCCCTATAAAAGCAGTAACCCAGTCAGACGACTTCACCTAGGCTCCTGTTCTGATGTGCATTTACTGTGAGCTTTTGCCTGCCTATGCTACTTTTACTTGTAAAGCTAGAGTACCCAAGCTTCTGCCTTCTGGAATATAGAGAAATAGTTCATCCCTATGCTACCTGTGTTCTGTAGTTAATCTGATGATAGCTGGTGGGTTTCTTAAAGTTTGCAGTATTCTTTGATTTGAATGGTTGAGGGAGGGGAAGGGAAAGAACATCCTATTTCTTTTAGCAAATTGGCTAGTTTAAAGCATATGTTTGTATTTCCTTATAGTTAAAATACTGTTCAGTTTTTTTATAGATAAGAAAAAATGCTTTGCATAAATTGACTCCACTGTTGAAGGGATGCTTTAAGTTTGAACCATTATAGCTTCAGACTCAATCTTTTCCTAAATAAAAATGTTAAAGCCTCATGTGTGAAATATATTTTTAAAAAAATGTCTGTGGATTTAAAGAATTTTAGATGAACAGATAGCTGTCCATAATTTTGAGTGCTAGACAGTGGAGAATATGTATCACTTAACATATACCTAGCAGTGTAAGGTAAGCAAAAATCTAACATGGCAGCCATTCTGCCATTGCTATGGCACTGTCCCCTTTAGTTCATGGTAGGTTTATTTTTGTACTTTGCAGAAGAAATTTTAGCATGTGAGAACTGGAAGGTACTTTAAACTTTTGTATATATATATTTTTGTTTTCTTTAATGAAGGCTCACTTACTTGAAATGTAAAAACTTTCACTGAATACAAATGGGAAAAGTGATATGTATTAAATCATATTAATTGCTTTTTGTCCATCTTTGTGGTTTAAAATAGTTTATTCTCTTCCTGGTTTTTGCCTAGAAAATTTGTGGGCTAGCAAGAAAATCTTGTTGTTGTTGTTGTTGTTGTTTTTTAATTGAGAGAGAAGAGAACTATCAAATTGTCAAAGTTCTTCATGTGTTAAAAGTCTATCTCCTATGAAACTGAGCTAGCAGGCAAGCTGAATTTGAAATAGACTGTGATGTATAGGCTATAAACTGTGGAATAACCTTAGTTTTCTTTTAACGTCAGTTACTGACTTAGGTAATGTATTGAATACCAAGATAAAGAAAAATGCACCTACAAACTAATTAAAAGTCTTTGTGATCACCAAGTCAAGGTGGTATTGATCTGCATTAATCAGAGTAACTTACTGCCTAGCCTATGAATAAATTCGAAAATATCCAATTCATTTAATCTTGAAATGGTGCTTTTTTTCTCTCTCCACACACAGTTGGACTGCTGCAGTTTAAAGCAAACTTAACATCATGTTCTTGCACAGCTAACTTTTTTTCTACTTTTATAAATTGAAACATTTCAGCATAAAAGTCATACATATGAAGCAAGGGCTGAATCATAATCATAAGGCTTTAATTTTGATAAACTAATCCAGTGGCCTATGGATAGACTGCTAAAAGTTGATTGAGAAGGTAGTGTTGGGAGCTGTGATAGGTAGTCATTTTGGGTTTTTTTTTTTTCCCTTCCTCTTACACTTCAGGATAAAGGTAAGTTGACTTGAATGGACTTCTTTTGCACTGGGAAAATGAACAGATGTTTGAAATGATTTTAAAATATTTTTTTTAATTAAAAAAACCACTCTGGAAAATATTAAATACCTGTAACTTATAAACACCCACCTTCAATGTAATAAGTGTACCCTAATCTTATGTATGTTTAACTGGATTACACAGATTCTTATCTTTTGTTAAAATATGTATACTCAGTGGACCAATATAATATTAAAGTATGTATATATTATATAAATCTCTTTCTCCATGCTCACTTGTGTAGGATGAGTGTTTGAGAGTCCTTTGTGATTACATTTTACTTTGTTGACTCTGGCTGCAGAGCCTATGCTTTCAAAGGACAGACAAGTATTCCTGAGAGCTCAGTGGCACTACTCACAAAGTTTTAATCGCCTTCTATATCCTTGTTCAAGTTTTGTTGGGCTCTCTTTATAGAATTTTCTGTTTCAAACTTCTAAATTATAGCCTGTAATTATGAGAACAATAAACTTTAAGTAATAATAAAGCATACTATCCATACATTGTATTTGAAATGGAGTTTTGCAATTCTCTCTTGTGTCCATGCTGTGTCCAGGAAGAGGTAGGTACACTGTCAGCACAGATAAATATGCGTAAACAGCTTGAGGCAGTGCCTGGTGTAGAATACTCAATAAATGTTAACTATTATTTTTAGTTACCATGTCCTGTTTCTGTGAAAGAAAGATGGAAAATGTATATGCATAGAGACAGTGCCTGAAACAGATGGTTTGTATATATTTGTTGAGTGGGGATTTATGACATGGATCCTGGGAGGGCACCCTAGTATAAAAAATTCTTTACAGTCCTGGGATAGAATCCTTAGTCCACCATTTTTGAGAAAGATGACTTTGAGAAACTCATTTAACCTCCCTTAGCCTCATTTTTGTCATCTAGTGAATATAATAATACTTAACTCATAGGATCATTCTGAAGGATTTGACTTTGGCAGCCTTTTCATATTACGTATTTTAATTAAGCAACGTCTGCCACGTTACTATTAGTAGTGAAAATAGCCATTGGTTTCCTTGTGGCAGCCACACAAGAGCAGAGTATGGCAGGACAGGCATTTAGAAAGTTTCTTTCCTCCTTTGACCAAGATTTTGTTTTGTTTTGTTTTTAAGGATTTTCTTTATTTATTCGACAGAGAGATCACAAGTAGGCAGAGAGGCAGGCAGAGAGAGAGGAGGAAGCAGGCTCCCTGCTGTGCAGAGAACCTGATGCGGGGCTCAATCCCAGGACCCTTAGATCACAACCTGAGCCGAAGGCAGAGGCTTAACCCACTGAGCCACCCAGGTGCCCTATCTTTCCTTCTGTGACCAAGTTTTTTTTTTTTTTTTTAAGATTTTATTTATTTATTTGACAGAGATCACAAGTAGGCAGAGGGGGGTGGGAAGCAGGCTCTTTGCTGAGCAGAGAGCCTGATGCGGGACTCGATCCCAGGACTCCGGAATCATGACCTGAGCCGAAGGCAGAGGCTTAACCCACTGAGCCACCCAGGCGCCCCCTGTGACCAAGTTTTAATTGAAAGAAGTGTGCCTTAAACTAAAAAGAGGAGACATCATGCTTCCAGAAAAATCTCAAGGAAAACTATTGCAAGCAACAGTAGTAGCATTGGATCAGGCAGTAGTAGCATTAAAGCCCGCTGGATCAGGCTTTAAAGGAAAGGTGGAGAGATTCAACCAGTTAATGTGAAAGTTGGGGATAAAGTTCTCCCAGAATGTGGAGGCACCAGAGCAATTCTAGGTGACAGGGAATTATCTCTTAACTAGAGATGATGGCATTGGAAAGTATGTAGACTGAAATAAGTCATTATTGAAATGATTTTCATGTGAAGGAAGCTGCCCATTCCACTGAGGTTCTGAAATCTTTCACCTTGTAAATAATTTCCATTTCTCTTTTATAATAAACTAATGATATTTACAATAAAAAGAGAAAAAAGCTAATGGTTATTGGATACATGTGTGTGAAGCACTAAACTAAGTACTTCATGTTGTTTTTCTGTTTAATCTTTACAAGAGTGCTGAGAGGCTCTATTTTGAAATGGGTAAACTGAGGCTCAAAAAAAGTAAAATAATGTGCTTCAGATCATGGCTAATAAGTAGATGCACCAGGAATTGAACTCTGTTCTCTCTGAATCTAAAACATGATACTCTTTCAGTTTACCATGCATTGTCTCATTTTGTGTGAAAAAGTTTGCTCCTAGGAAATGCTAGGAATAGGATATGGTAAATAATAACAACAAATAACGTGTTAAGAACCAAGCAGGATCCTTACTTCTTTACATATATTAGTTCATTTAATCCTCACAACAGCAGTAACTCGTGTGTGTGTGTGTGTGTAATAACGATAATCATCATTGTCTCCATTTTACAGAAGAGGTACCCTAAGCCATAATTATGCAAGTAGTAAGTGGCAGAGCCAGCCACTTTCGAACTTAGGGAGCTGACTCCAGAGTTTTAACCACTTCTTGCTATTTCTGTTAAAGGTGTGAAGCCATAGGAGAAATATAAATAGAATAATCCATGTGATCTCTGCTCTTGATTAATGAAATAGGCCTACTGTGTAGCAGATGGCATCTTAAAAAACATTTTCTAATTCATTCTCCTATGTAATCCTTAAAAGGATTTAGAATCGTTTCTAACACATGAAAGCATTCAACCATTGTTATTTGTGTTACCATAAGTGATAAGTACATGGGGAGATGGCCAATATCACATTTATTAAAGAAATACAAATTTATAGATCACAAAGTTCGCAAAAATGAAAAATAATATATCAGTGCTAGCAAAGCTCTGGAAAATACATAAAAAAGTAGGCAAAGAGTAGTTTTTGAAGAGGTTGCTGCATGGATGAAGGGACAGGGCCTTCTGGGCAGAGGCCATGGCTATGTCTAAAAGATGAAGGGATAGGACACAGTATAGTCAGCAAGTATTGAAGTAATTCACTGTGACTGGAGTTTAGGTCTGCGGGCAAAAAGAGTGAAGTATTTGTGTTATAAGAAAGATCTTAATGGTGATACGGAGAATTGCTTTAGGGGAAACTAGGCAAGGAAGAAGAGCAGATGAAGGGTACTAGAGTCATTCAGGTGAGATGGTAAGGAGCTAAAAATGTGGCTGTGGCTGAGGCCTGAGAGATGGGGACCAATTTAGAAGAATTAGCGGGTCTTCAAGTCTAATCTGATTAGGGAGTAGATGTTCAGCAGAAAGGCATGGTTCACAAACTTCAGAGAGCATCAGGATCACCTGGAGGGCTTGTTAAAATAAAGATTGTGACCCCATCCCCGGAGTTTCTCATTTAAGTAGGTCTAGAGTGGGACCCAAGAATTTGAAATTCTAACAAGTTCCCAGATGATGCTAAAGTTCCAGGGGAACCTAACTGGAGAACCACTGGAGTGGAGGCTAACTTCAAGTCTCCGTTTTGCAAGTTATATTAAATCTACTCCCTTAGTTTGCCATGCTGTTGCACCTTGTCATTCTATGCTTGACCTCTGGATTCTGTCTCACAATGTAAAGCACTTCCAATCTTTCTTGTGGATAGAGTTTTTTAAAAATAATAATTGGAAGCTAATGACACTGTGCCAGTAATATGTGAAATACATAAAATGATTCATTTTATTCTCCATAACAGCCTTTTTTTTTTTTTTAAGATTTTATTTATTTGACAGAACACAAGTAGGCAGAGAAGCAGGGAGGGGGAGAAACAGGCTCCCCATGGAGCAGGGAGCCCAGCTCGGGGTTCAGTCTTAGGACTGAACCATTTTGTTGTTATTTCCGGTTTAAAGATGAGAGGCGAAAAGGTTAAATAACTTGCCCAAGACCCAGAACTAAAAAGTACCAAAGGTAGGATTCAGTACTCAGGAGTCAGACTCCAGAATCCATGCTCAGTCACTCTTCTGTACTGAAAAAACTTACTTTAAGATACTTGATGCATAAGCCATCAAAAGAAATGAAATCTTGCCATTTGCGATGACGTGGATGGAACTAGAGGGTATCATGCTTAGCGAAATAAGTCAATCAGAGAAAGACAACTATCATATGATCTCCCTGATATGAGGAAGTGGAGATGCAACATGGGGGGTTAAGGGGGTAGGAGAAGAATGAATGAAACAAGATGGGATTGGGAGGGAGACAAACCGTTAAGTGCCTCTTAATCTCACAAAACAAACTGAGGGTTGCTGGGGGGAGGGGGGTTGGGAGAGGGGGTGGGGTTATGGACATTGGGGAGGGTATGTGATATGGTGAGTGCTGTGAAGTGTGTAAAACATGGTGATTCACAGACCTGTACCCCTGGGGATAAAAATATATGTTTATGAAAAATTTTTTTAAAAAAGATACTTGATGCATAGATCTATAGGGTGCCTCCCCATAAGTCTGCGTGTTGGAAATGTTTAGTGAGAAAATCATTGTCATTCCATTCACCCTTTGCTAAGGAGTATTATGTTCTAAGTACTGTGCCAGGCTAGGGACGGAGAAGATTCTTACGAAGGCCTTGCCATCAGTGGTCATACAGTAGGAGGGATATACATCTACTCTCAACTAATTCCACACATTGCATACTGAGGATTAAGATAGGAATGCTGGGATACCCAGAGGAAGGAGAGAATATTTCTAGCCCAGAGGATTGGGGAAGGCTTCCCAGAAGAGGTGCCCCCAGAACACAGTATGCTACTTCTAGCATTAGTAAAAAACATAGATGGTGACTTTTTAAAATTATTTAAGATTTTATTTATTTGACAGAGTGAGACAGGGAACACAGCAGGGGGAGTGGGTGAGGGAGAAGCAGGCTTCCCTCAGAGCAGGGAGCCTGATGCAGAACTCCATCCCAGGACCCTGGGATCATGACCTGAGCTGAAGGCAGATGCTTAATGATTGAGTCACTCAGGCACCCCAGTGACTCAAAATTTTTTTTAAAAAACATAGCTCTTACAAGGTCACAGCGTTTAATGTCAGGGCTCTGTTCACTGGGAAAGGCTGGCAAAAGTCTCCCAGGAGGCCTCATGTGAGCAGCATTTATTACTTGGTGAATTCAGCCTGGCCCAGGTCTGCCCTTCAAGTTTAGAAACCTGACTTTCATCAGTAAAACAGAGAGAGGGCTTCCATTACAATGGACTGATGTAGAGACCAGAACATCAGTATCCAGCAAAAGTTGCCACAGGACTTAGAGCACCTACAATTGGTTGAACAAGACTCCTCCCTTGCCAGTGATGTCTGATTGCTTCCTGCCTCTGATGCTCCTCTCCCTCTGCAGCCAGGGCTGCCTGGCCCTCTGATGACACGTTTTCAGATATGTTTAATCTGGTTGCAGTCTGGTTTGGCTGGTTGGGTAGCTGTAGCTAGTGTCTCTCTGGGGTGATTTTGCATATCTTTGGTTTCATCCATTGTGAACTCTATAGTTTAACTCCTCCTGAGGCGGACTTGCCCAGTTTGAGTTCTTAGTGAAATATCTCAGCCCCCACATCCTCCCCACTTCGATTCCACCCTTTCATTGGTCATACTATTTATTGAGTGTATATATGCCAAGCCTACTCCCTGACTTGCCCTAACAATTCTGCCTTTTAAATCTCTCTCAAATCTATCCTCTCCATCTCCAGTGCCACTGCCCCAGTTCAGGTCTTCATCATCTGTCTTATAGACTTTGCCAAAGCCTCCTAATCTTGTCACCAGTCTCTGTTTTTTTCTCTGCTTCCAAACCATCCTCCATGTCACAGTCAGATTCATCCAGAATCAAAATCTGCCCCATCACTCCTACATAAAACAGACACTGATTGCCGTCACACTCAGGCTAAAATCCTAAACCCTTAAAAGGCTTTTCCTTCATAACCTTAATTTCTGATTGGTACTTAATCAGTAATGGCTTGAACGTGTAACCTGGGTTCCCCCCCACCCCGCCTTAAGTCTTGAGAAAATGCTACTTGAAGGAAATAAAGGTACCTCCAATTTGATTATAGAGTAAGGGAAGCCTTTTGAAATATGCGTAATTTTATTCTTTCTAACTTGGTGTTTTTCAAACAGGTAATACATTACATTAGTGGGGTTGGGAAATCAAGTTTAGTGAATCAAGCAGCATAGAAAAAATGCAGAGTAGTAGAATGTAGAATGAACATAGTAGTAGCAGGATGAACTCCCATATCCCGATAATCACCTTCAGTAATTGCCATTTCATATCCAATCTGAGTTTATCCATATTCTTGCCCACTTTCCTCTCAAATCTTACCTTATACTTCATTTGTAAATATTTCAGCATGTTAAAGGTCAGCATTTAAAAAATCATGAAATAGAATTTGTTATTGAATATGTATGTACTGGGTCATGAGATAAAATGTTTGAAAGCAACTGATTTTTTCAACATCTCTTGAAATAAGAAATGTAGGTAGGTCCTAACATTATGTATCCAGGTTAATATATAGATTATCTTATGGAGGGAAAGGAGTGTCTTTGCAGAAAGACCCCACCTATTTTTCTTCCCCACCCCTAAGCATATATAGAATATGTTCAGCTGCCCAAGACCTAAGGGCTTAGGTTCAGCCTCTCCTGTTTTCTCTGGAATCCCAAATTGAGAGGACTGAATTATTCTGTGGAAAGGAAAAGGGATAAGGAAAAGTAGCTGATACTTACTGAGGAGCTTCTCTGAGCCTGGCACTAAGGCTTTTAATATACATTCTCCTATTTAATCCTCACAACACTTTTAACAGAAAGAAAACTTAAGTTTATAGAGAGAGAGAGACACCCTCACCCCCCCCAACCTGCACCTAGTAGAGACCAAGCCAGTTTCCAGCCCAGGTGCCTCGGCTCTGAGATCTGCTCTTCCACTACTAGCCTGCCTCTTGCATGCCTGGTTTTTTGTTTTGTTTTGTTTTTTAAAAGATTTTTATTTACTTATTTGATAGCAAGAGAGGGAACAGGAGCAAGGGGAGTGGGAGAGGGAGAAGCAGTCTTCCCCCTGAGCAGGGAGCCTGATGCAGGGCTCGATCCCAAGACCCTGGGATCATGACCTGAGCCGAAGGCAGAACTTAATGACTGAGCCGCCCAGGTACCTCTTGTATGCCTGGTCTTAAAGGCAGCCCTTTGGGCCTAAATGGTAACAGAGATCAAACACTGTAAACCTAGACCCTAAGCAAGAACTGATGTTCTCAAAGAAAACCCTGATTCATCTCAGCTTCTTGAGAAGGTTCCTAGCCTTGTAGAAAGAACCTAGATCTCAGAGTCTTATGAAGATGCGTCTAAATTCTGGCCTTCCCCCCTGCTCTGTGACTGTGGGTACGTCTCTTAATCTCTCAGATACCAGTAACTTCATAGGGTTGTTGTAAGGATTAATGGTGACAGATACAAAGTCTTCATTTCTGTGACATGGCAGATACACACTATGTCAGGGCTGTCGTGTCTGTGTTTAAGAAGAGAGAAAAGGTAATACTACATTCTAGGAAAGTGTGTAAGCATGGTTAAAGAGAATAAATGTCAGTCATCTTAAAAGTTTATTGCTACGGAACACTTCATTCCTCACTGATTCTGAGTAAAACTCACATAGTATGAGGTGCACTTCACACACACACACACACACACACACACACACACACGTTCAGCTTGAATTCACTCATGTAGCCCTCACAACAACCCTTGTGCTGGGTGCTTGTCTTTTCTGCATTTTACATAATTCCCATTTCAGATAAGAACACTGAAGCAGAAAGAGGTTAAATAACTTGCCTGAAGTCACGTGCAGCTATCAAAGGGTGAAGCCCAGACTCTTAACTCAGGCGGTCTGGCTCCAGAGCAAGGGAAGGAATAAAACCCGCTCTAGCTTGGGGTTGTTAGGAGATTCAAAATAAGATAAGCTTTGAGAAATTCTAAGAGCTTGTCTGGCAGGCGGACTGGGGCTGGGGTTAAGATAGAAATTTGAGGATGACTGCTTGGGTTAAGTCTTCACTGTGCCACTTAATTGGCCTCTGTGATCTTGAGCAAATTACTTAATCCTCTGCCTTATTTTCTCAACTATAAAAATTGGAATTTTAAAAGGAAATACCTAATAAGATTGTTCTGAGTATGAAATGAGCTGGTATATCTGAAAAGTTTAGAATAATGCCTAACAGCTCTAGACAAACATGGTGATGACAATGAAGATGACAAAGGAAAAGGCGAAGATGAAGAACAGGAAACAAGCCTTGAAGTTTAAGAAACCTGGGATTTAATCCCAGCTCCTGACTTGATCTTAGGAACATTTCTTAACTTCAGACTCAAATAATCTCACAAGAGTTGTTGTCCCAGTTAGAAATAGTGTATGTAAAGGTAAGTAAGTAAAGTGCCTTTCACAAAGTGGAAATTATATAAATATGCATTCCTTATTCATTTACTCTGCTCTGAGCACCTACTAGTGTAGCAGGGGTGCCAGACTCCATGGAAGACAAAAATGTGAGACATTCTCTGTATTTTCAGATAGAAATCTGAAGATGAAACTGGTCATTGTTAATTAAGTTTAGAAAGTATGGAGTGTTAAATGCTGTGAAAAAGACACAAAAAGGAGAGATTCCACCGCTGGGGAGATACAGGAGGGCTTCCTGGAGGAAATAGTATTAGCTGTAGGCTCAGAGGCTGGGTGGGGCTTTAATTCCAAATGGGATTTGACTGGGCTCTGGACCTACAGCAGACCAAGTTTCTGAGGCCCTGTGGTATTCATGCCTGTGAGCCCAGGAGGAAGTTGGCTATCTGTAGTGCACAATGCTGCCAAGCTGGATAAGGCTCTGTGGGCTGAGGGATTTGGGCCCCCAGGTGCATGTAACTGGAATTTCCAGATCTGGAGGCTCTAGCAGTGTGGTCAGATAGGCAACATTCTCGGGTCTTGTTGATCTGCCAAGACCATGACATGAGCTCTCAGAGAAAGGGGGAAAGGTCGTATTTTCTCTGCTCCCTACCAAGGAAAATTGAGAGAAAATACCCAGGTAATCCTCAAGGCTTCTGTCCCCTGCTTTCCCAGGCCTGCCACTCCATGCCCAGCCCACCTGCAGACCTCAGGTGGGATTAGGGGGGGAAGCACCAGATGGGAGAGACAGACTTGGGTCTAAGACTTAGCTTCACAGCTTAGTATCAGAGAAGTCAGTTTTCCTCTTGGAGCCCCAGTTTCATCAACTAAAATGGGAGTGAATACTTAATGGAATGGCATTAAATGAGAATTTGTGTCAAACACCTGGGTTAGGGTTTGGCACATTAGAGAATGGCTCAGACTTGTCAGAATCAGTCACACTTAGTCGACAAAGGATTTGTGTTGCTCAAGTGCCTACAATACAGACCCAGCCCAAAAGGAGACAGAAATGGTCCCTTAGCCATCCTGCCCCGCCCGTTTTCACCCTGCTCCTCTCACTGAGAAAAGTCTCTAGGGACCCCTGAATCCATCCTTCACACTGGACCTGGATTGATCCTTCTCCCTGCTCCTAGTCCTTAGTTGAGCCTGCCATGGACGCCTCCTGTTCCAGTGCCTTGCCTGTCAGCAACCTCTACTCTCAGGCTAGACAGGTCTTTCCTTACCTCCCTGTTCCTCTGTCTGCCCCCCAACCTCTTCTGCAGTCCCAAGCACTTGACTCCATCCATGTGCGGCCCTGGTAAGGCAGTGTTCTGTACTTAAGCAGGAGAGAAAGGCGTTTGTGACACCGTCGCCCCTCGATTCAGAGGACCTGCTTTAGACTGGGACCGGAGAGCCTGGAATAGGTCCCGGTGCTGCCACCGGCCTTCTGTGTGGTCTTGGGACAAATCCCTGGACGTCCTGGGCCTCAGCTTCTCCTTGTGACTAATGATGGGTCTCGACGGCTCTGGAGGGGAATGGGCTTGCTCTGGGACCCTGGGTCCGCTCCGGGGGCACCGACGTCCCGGGCAGGCAGGGAGGTGCCCGGCCGCGGCGGGGAGGAGCCGCCGGTCCCGTCCCGCCCATCCGCCCGCCGGTCCAGGTGCTGCCGCGGGAGCCGCCGCTACAGCCCACGCCGCCACGAGGGGCCGCCCGCGCCCCCGTCTGAGTCCGGCCCGCGTCCATGGCGTTTCTGACCGCCTGGAAGGGGGCGGCCTCCGGGAAGAGCGACCGCAGGTACGGGGCGGGAACGGGGCCTCGGCTGGAGGCGCGCACGGGACGGAGGGGCGGCTGCCGGCGGCCGACCGGAGGGACAGCTGTAGGGGTACAGCGGGCGACCGCAGTGCGCGGGCTGCTGGGCGCGGGGTAACGGCCGGAGGGCCGGGGCGGGGTCAGCCCGGCGCTTCTCGCACCCTCACGTGCCCCGTGGCTCACGTGTTCCGGCCCCCGCCGGGGCTGGGCCTAGGGACAAGGGATGCGGACCCCACCCCTCTGCGGTCGCACCGGAGCCCCGCTTCCGGTGCCGTCATCTGCGCGCTCTCTGCGAGGGTACGCAGGTGAGCCCTCGGGCCGGGTGGGAGTCAGGTTTGAGCTGCGGTGTCAGCCCTCTGGGGTGCTGCTCACACGCACCTGGTCTTCCGCGCCCTCTGTGCCGGGACAGATGAGAGCAAGCAGACCATCCGCGCCCCAACACGGTTGTCCACATCTGGGGGCAGCATTGTGTGTGTGTGGGGGGGAAATCTTGGGTGTCAGTGCTGGTCCAGGGTAGGATTATGTGCCCCACAGCTCCTCCAAGCTCAACCCATCAGGGATATCATTGTCTCCCGTGTGTTGCCTCCACCTCCCCAGCGGTCCCCACCTCCTGGATGAGTTGGTGTCTCCAGATGTGTTCTCTTGAGAAAGAGGAGAGGGGACAATCCTGACCTCTCTTCTGAGCTTAGACACCAATTCCTTTCCTTTACATAACTTAAAGTTTACCCTCCTTACTCCCTAGAGAAGAGCAATCCAACTGCCCTCCCGGCACTTCCATCTGACTTTCCTGTGAGCACCTCAAATTCTGCAAGCCCCAAATCACACTTCACATCTTCACCCCTAAACCTGTTCCTCTCCCTGTGTTCCCATCTCAGTGAATGGCATTGTCATCCACCCTGTTGCTCAAGCCCAGAATCCGGGAGTCATCCCTTTCACCTCCCTCCCTTACCTCCACCCCAGTCTCTGAGTCCTGCTGATTTTCTCTCTGGTGTCTCTCAAAGCTGTTCATTCTCCTTTGGACTATTGCAATAGCGCCTAACTTTCCCAGTTCCTCCAGTCTTCTCCTTTCCATGCATCCTTCAGACGGATCTTTTCTAAAGCACAAGCCAAACCATGTCATTCTTCTGTTTTAAAACTTCCACAGTTCTCCATCACGTAAAGGTTAAAGTTCAAAGTTCTTGAGGAGAGAGGTTGTGACCTGCCTTGGCCCATTTCCTGTAACTCCCCAGCGCTCACTCTGGTCCAGCAACACCGACTGCTTTATAGTGCTCTCACAGCTGTGCCAGGCTGCTCAGGGTTGCCTCTGCCTGGAATACTATCTGGGACCCCGGGTCTGCTCCACTTCTGCTTCTGACATTCACATCAGTTAAGACTCAACTTGAGGTAACCTCTTTTCGAGAGCCTTTCTGACCCCACCTTTGAGTCAGACTCAGAGGCTTTCAACATCTTTGCTTCTTTCTCGTGATTCTCATTCAGTCTTTTAACAAACACTGTTGAGCATATAACATGCTCCAAGCACTGTACTAGGTGCTGCGGATATAGTATTACTTCAGAGGCACAACTCCCTGCTCTCAGGAGACCGTGTTCGAGAGGAAAAAAAAGGCCACACAAATAGGCAAATAAACAATGCTGTGTAAAGCCTTAAAGAGGGCCATGGGATGGACAATAAAATAGACCATTCCTAGAGCATTCTCAGAAGTCACAGTGTGGTTTGTGTCTGAGGAGCAGAAAGGAGGTCCTGAGGTGAATCCAGTGTCTGATGGGATCCAGGAAGCAGGCTGCCCAGAACAGGGCATGGAGTTTGGATTTCACTGGTGTTGGGAAGCCACTAGAGGGCGTCAGGGAGCGGATTTACATATTTAAAGATGATCCTGCTACCTCAGGAAAAAAGGATTTTGCGGAGGGACAAACCATTTCAACACTGATTCAGGGTTACCTTTTTCTGTCTCCTCACTACATGTGCAGAGGGGGCAGGGCTTCAGTTTTGATGAAGACATGAAAGAATAATTTCCGAGGAAGGAGAGATCCCCCGGTTGGGATAGAGAAGAATGGCTATGTCCAGAAGAATTTCTTGCCTGAGGTCTTCCCAGCCTATGAGAACTTGGTTGTGTTCTGTCCTTAGGCACCAGGAACCTTCTTCTGAGTTTCAAATGTGTGTATGTTGCTGATGTCACAGTGTGGAGGGAGGTAGGGAGACAAGAGGGGAGGCTGGCATGATGATCCAGGAGGGATGCTGGGGTGTGGATGAGGAGAATGAAGGGGGCGGGGGGTACGGATTAGAGAAGTTAAGGAAGAAGAACAGCTAAATGGTGAATAGAGAGGCTGAGAGATGAGACCCAGAATCACCAGTGAGGGAAGAGAAGTGAGAGACAGTGAAGAGGAGGGGGAGAAAGGAGACTCTAGCCAAGTAGAGGCCTCTGTATCCTCCGTGGGCCTGTTTGAGGGAGAATATGGGAGGGCCTGAACACATTGCCTTTATACTTCAGGTGGAACTTGCTGGACACAAATACCCCCAGTTGTGCCCACAAAGTCTCATATCTGAGGCACAAACCCAGATCTCCTTTCTCCCAGCTCAGGACCTGTGACTTTACCTTCCCCCCTCACCCACCACACTGTCTGATCTCCCACAGCCTGGCCCAAAGGTGAAGAGCTTGTCCGGCCCCTGTTCTGCCGCTTACGTACTGGCTCTGTGGCCTAAATTTAATTACTTGGTCTGTGTGAACTCAAGTTTACTCAGCTATAAAATAAGCTACTCACTGAGTGGTGGGAAGCCCTAGTGAAGTCCCACTGGAAAGGACCTCACAGAGAGCCACTGGGGCATATTTGGTGTTCAGTAAATGTGAGTTCACTTTCTTCTTGGCAGTGGTGTGAGGTAACTAAGGTATTCCCATTGAACAGAAGGAATTCTGAAAGGTTTGGGAATCAAGGGTGGGATTCCTGGCACCAGCATGGATAGCCAACAAGGTTATGAGATAGAAATGGTGCCCACACATCTTACAGTGGGGAATGCCACCTACTGGTGCTATAAACAAGGCCCCTTCCAAGCCATACCAGTAGCCCCCACTCATGGCTGTTCCTCCTGTAGAAGGCAGCACCAGGAGCAAAGAGGGAAGTGTAGATGGGCAGATGGCTTTTGAGAGAGTAAGTGGCAGAGCTGCGGGGGCAGGGCGGGGGGTGGAGGCAGGGAGCTCTCTGAGAACAGAGGGGCCCAGCCAAAGAGGCTCAGGTCCTGGGGCTGCTGTCAGTTGCCCAGTTTCCTGCCCTCGGTTTGAGCCTGAGCTCCAGGAACTCTCAGATGCCTCTAGGTAGGTGGTTTCAAATTTGATGGCTGGAATCCTGGAGTGGCTTTGGGGTTCCTTCCTTGGGACAGGATCTGGACGGGAGGCCAGTGCTGAGTGTTCACCTCTGTGATTCTCAGATTCTGTGAATTAAGGCATTGGTGAATTATGAGAATCGGGATTTAAATTACCATGTTCTACGATATTGAGGTTTATGATCCCAGGGTTCTGATCTCCCTTCTGCTGTCCAGAGCAGCTGCATGGGGTATGAGAGGGTTCTGGTGTGGGAGGCACACTGCAGCCCCCAAATCCTCGATCTCTCGGGAGGATGCCATGGGAAACCCTCAGGTTACCTTCGTCCCTTTTTTTTAGTTACAGAGGGATTCTGACTTGGGACGTTTTTGGTCCTGTCTTGAGGTCAGTTGGAAATAGATGATGTAGGCTGCTGTGTTAGCTCTGCCAGCGTGCAAGTTCCTGATTTATCTTCAAATCTGCGATTTGAGTTGCTTGTCCTTCCCCTGAATATTTCTGCTGCTCAATTCAGTTTCTCTCTGCGGTCGGCTCCATTCTCTCCTAATGCTCACCTACTTCTCCATCCTGTGCCAGGCAGGGCTGCCAGCAGCTTCCAAGCTCAAGTCCTGGGACAGTAAGACAAAGCAGTGAAAAGTATCCTGGAGCCACACAGGCTGATTTGGGGATCCTGACTCTGGGACTTTCTGGCAGTATGACTTTGGACAGGTTATTTAACTTTTCCAAATTTCACTCTCATCTGTAAAATGAGGCTAATGTTAGGACTTGCCTCACAGGGTTGTTGTGAGGATTATGTGAATCAGTTTGTGGCAAGTGCTGAGAGCAGTGCCTAACACACAGTCAGTGTAACCAAGGAGTGTTACTGATTATTGTCATTAGTGCCCCCAGGCCAGAAGAGGAAGGGGTTTCTCCATCAGTCTCATTTGAAAAAGCTCAGGGAAAAATTTCCAGCTGACCCTTCCTTCAACAAGTCACTGTGCCCTGAGAGGTGGAGTCAAATGAGAGGCACCTACCATTCAGCCAGTGGGGCTGGAGAGGAGGGAAGAAGCAGTACCCCTAAAATCAAGTTGCGGAGGTGGGGCGTGATATTGTAAGGTAACTGTGGCCAATGAGCAGACCTTAAAGTAAAATCATAGCTTCATGAAGACCGCAAAATAGGATTTGCTTGGAGTATCCCTGTGCCTCCCTCTGAGAGTCCAACAGTTGTTGACACCGTGGGAGCTGGGAACCGGTCCCTTGTGCACTCTCCTGCAATTGTGACTATTGGCCCCAGTCCCATTCTCAGCCTCACTACCACTGCCCCACCGGCCTGGGGGTTGGGGGCTTGTAGGACAATGTCCCTGAAGCTTGTCACTTTATCACCCCATCCCAAGGCTGGAATAGACCTTTCTCCTAATTCTCCTAATTCATTCGCTAGCTTGACCTAAAACCAGTCTGTAATATTTTAAAATACCTTAGGAAGCAGGGAATGAGTAACAGAAGATTTGTAGGATTCTATGGCCCCTTGCCGAGCCCCTCAGCCATCCTGAAAGGAGCCTGACTGCAAAACTTCCACATCTGGGAGGGCCCCGTGGGTGTTTTCCCATATTTTCTTTCCTTCCTGCTTCAGATGGAAACTGCAGTTCAGAAATCTATTGTATTTAGGTAAAATTCTTCCTACTTAGTGGCTGGATTCAT